TAAGGTAAATAGCAACAAATAGGCAGGGAGGGCAGCATAAACTCTGTTGGTTAATTCATGGTCACCCACTTCCTGTGTCATACCCACTCTATGGGTGGGTTTCATTAGTTAAGACCACCTTATTAAAAAGGGAGAAGTGGGAAGCAATTCCATGTAAGTACTTTTTGTTTGAAGATAGGTTTCCTATCTAAATTCAGTCCCCACTCTGAAATGTTTACTTGCTATAATGACTTAGCTATTTTCAGTGACAAACACCGCAGCTCTAGGCCAAGCTCTCTAATTCTGGCTTCCTCTGGGTGCAGGAAGAAGGAAGTGGCAGATGCCCCACTACCGGTGGCCTCTGTGCCAGCAATCTGCCTGTGTTGGTGTGGGTGCCCTGGGCCTCTTTTCCTGTCTGCCCTTCGAAGCTCCCATGATTGCTGACTCTTTGCCATTTGACCATCTGCCTTGCCTGGGCTCCCACATTTCTAGTGAGCTGACACTTGCAGTGCCTTTGGGTGCCCATCTGGCCCAGCACTAGGGTGGAGGACTTCTGCCTGCCACTGTTCCTCTGACCTCTGCAGACTTGGCTCTCCAGGCCCTGCAGTCTCCACTGCTAATGCAGAGCCTATGGAATCACAATGGATGCTTTAGGTATGAAGGGCTACCTAGCTATTTTTAGTGCCCCCTAAGTAAGCATTGCTTAGTGGATGGTTGAAAAAAATAACTTTTTTTCCCCTCTGAGGGCAAGATAAAGAACATACCTTTATATTTGGGGTGCCTAGAATATGGGAAGTTATTTGTTAAATGTGGGTTGACCTGAGGTTGGGGTAGGGGAAGAGAAAGTATGTACAGGAGGCTGTGACATCAGCTTCCTGAAATGACTTAGAAGAAAGGTGGCCCTGTGGCATTTGCAGCTGTCAGTCCTGCCCTTCCGTTGGGGGAGTGGCTTCTGGGCAGAGTAGGAAGTTGCTTGGCCAGAGCCTTGGACACAAAGCTCCACCCTCATCTCATCCCCACCCATGCCCTCTTGCACCTGAGGGTCCCAGAAATTCTTCTGTACTGATAAGCAAGTGCCAATTGGACTGGGGGGTGGTGGTGGATACATTTGTCTGCAAGTGGGAAACTGTATGCCATGTGTACCCAGTACTCAGTGCAAGGTAATACTCTGCAAAAACAAAGGGACATGATGGGCTTCGTTCCTCTCCCCTTTCATCTATTAGATCACAAAAGCAATACATGTTCACAGGGAAAATACAACCATATTAAAGCCTTTTGCTATCTCTGATTCTATTCTCTAAAGCTAACTGCTGCTAATACTCTTGAGAAACATTCTGGCAATGTGCTTCTATATAAAAGAATTGCATACAACTCACAGATACAGAATGTATGAGTGTATGCACTTGCAAATACACGGACAGATGGATTCTGATAGTGTAGTGTGATGGAAACAGAAAAGGTGAGGTTCGGTGGAGGCAGAATTGAAGTCTATAAAGGGCCTGGCTGGAGCATAAAAGGAGGACCCATGGAACCCAAGGATGTAAGGGAGACTAGAGGTGGTGATGAGGAGTAGGCAGGGTGTTTAAAATAGTAAGGCATTTGTGTTACAAATAATTGTGAGGCTCTTGGAGGGTGAAAATATACCACCAAATTACCTTCTGTTTCCTCAACTGACAAATGGGATAATAGGGTGAAACCATGTAAGTTTATTGTGAGGATTAAATGGGGGTGATGTGTTTATAGACTTTAGAATTGGGTAACAGTTTACAATGCTTTTTTTTTTTTTTTTTTGAGACAGGGTCTCTCTGTAGCCCTAGCTGGCCTGGAACTCACTATGTAGATCAGGCTGGCCTCAAACTCAAGGCTGGCCTCAAAGTCACAAAGATCTGTCTGCCTCTGCCTCCCAAGTGCTTAAAGGCATGTGCTACCACACCGGGCTACAATGGATTTTCTGTGTGTGTGTGTGTGTATGTGTGTGTGTGTGTGTACGTGTGTGTGTGAAGGTATACTGCTGGAGATCAAACACGGCATCATGCATGCTAGACAGGCACCGTACCATTGAGCTGTACCCAGCCCTGAGTGTGAGCAATTATTGCATCACGCATCACGGTTAATGATTCAGTGGTGTATTGCTACTGTTAGAGTGCTTAAGGCAGTATGTGGCATATTGCTGTTTTTCTGTCCACCTGCCACCAAGCCTACAGAAAGGACCTTCTGAAAGCATCTCTGTTTTTGCTTTGGAATTCATATTTTTGTCACCATGCTGTTTCTTCCACAAATGCTTTGAACTTCTTACTGTACCTTTGAAGAAAACTTTCTGGTACCTGGTAGATGTACATCCTTGATGTGTAGGGTTATTTTAGATAGCCAAGATCAGCAGTCATTTTCTTACTTCCTTCTCTTGGCCTAGTCCCAAACTGTTGAGAATGTTTAAATGGAGACATTCACTGATTTCCTATACTTTACTCATACTACCTAAGAACACCAAATAGGATTGCTTGCTTAAGAAAAACAGGGCGCCATTCGGCCGGGAGGGCCGGAGATAACAGAAGAACATCAGAGGGACATCTGTGGCTAGGCAGGAAGGTGAAGGGGAGTGTGAACCTTGTAAAACCCGATAAGAAAGAAATGGCCATGGAGCCCCGGTCACCCTGAATTCCAAGGAATACACGTATGTCTCTTTTTGAACTAACCAATAACTGTGCATCTGCTTCTGTAAATTTGCTTCTGCCCTATAAAAGACCCTCCCCAACATGAGCCGGCGCGCAAGTCTTAACCTTTGCAGGGTAAGGCTGTGCGCCCTCAGACGTCTGTGATTTCTTAATAAAAACTCCTCTTGCTTATTGCATCCCGAAGCTTGGTCTTGTCCCTGTGTGATGAGCGCACGTCTCTTTCAACCTAAGAACACCAAATAGGATTGCTTGCTTAAGAAAAACACCCCAAGAATCATTACTCATACTCAGATAGTTTCTGCATTTTAAGAACACTGAGTATGTCCTCTACTTAAACATCTTGGGCCAGTCATTCTGATCATTTGGGAAATTCCATTTTGCTTCTTGTATTTAGAATGGCTGGCTTAAAACTCTCAGTTCTAATATTCTGCATCCCAAATGCTCTTAGTCGTCAGTAAACTAAGTCTGCCTCCATGCTCCCCTAGTCTTGATTTATAAATAGGTTCAGCTGCCTCACAATTACACATACTCTGTTTTGCAATGCGTGCTCCTTAGGAGGCTTTTACAAGGTAGGTGGCTTTTACTCTTACAAAAGTTATCTGGAAACCATCCGTATTTTCCTGATGGGCATATTTGGAAGGATGGTGATGAGACTTTGTCTGAAAAGTCCAAGAAACAATCTCCAACATGCACAGTAAATCCAGTATCTAATTTCTAACAGATCTTCATTGGGACAGGCCTGAGACCAGCTTGTGCTTGTTAGAGTGTGTGCACCTGCGCACTTTGATTCATACATGGCCACACATGCTGTGAAAAACACAGTGACAAAAACATTAAGATGCCAGAGAAAATAAAGACCAGTGGTGTCTGGGAAGATGATGAAGGTGTAGTCACAGGTATAATTAAAGACAAGGTGGGGGGAAGGAGAGGGCACGGAATATACCAACACCCATGAGATCTGCATGGCAAATAGCCTATTTGAGGGGAATCTGCCTAGGTTAGCTGGGTAAGAATTTCCCTTCTGGGCAGAACTGGGACTTGCATAATAATACTGAGAACTACATAGGGTTTTCAGGTATGCCATTTCATTTATTTCTTTATATAATGCAATAAGGCACTTGAACCGAATACCATTCTCCTTACAGATCCAGACCGTGGAGCTGAATGAAGAAACTTGTCGGTTGGGTATGAGACTGGGCTCTCTGGCCTCTGCACTCGTTATCCAACATTGCTTCACTTGACAGAAAAGTGCAGGAGAATTAACTTTGACCTGCATGTGGCCCTGGGCCCATCTCTTCAGGGAACACCCAGTTTTCCTCATCTAAGTTTAGGTTGTTAGTTTACATGCCCCTAAATCATAGTCCAGAGTTTGTGGACAGTAGGATGTAGTGGATGTGTAACGCCGTGGGCTGGAAACACAGTAGATCATGAACGCAAGGACTCAGATACTAGTCAGGGATGACAGAATAACGCAAAGGAAGTGCCTAAGGGTGGATATTGGACTAGAGGACAAAACTCATGACTCCATAATCTGGACGTAATGAATGTGCAAGAATTTCAGCAGCTCCTGGGTACGCTTCCATGCGCAATGTTTTAGAAAGAAAAGGAAAAGAAGAAAAACTAAGCTCCAAGGCAGTCAGCTCTCTTTCCCGTAGCCTGCGGCACAGTCTCAGGTTTAGGAATCCGGTTGGACCAGTGGGGGGCTCCACGGAGCTCAGTCTTCCGGAACCCCGCTGACGTGCCAGGGCTCCTGCGGGATAGGGTTTGGGGGACCCTAAGGAACCCCAAAGGACTAGGCCCTACATGCGTCTTCCTAGGTTCTAAGTCCCAGGTTCACCCCGGCTCCGCCCTCACACCTCTATTCCTCCACCCTAGGGCAACAAATCTGTAGGCAGGGTCTGGGGCGATGAGAATTCCTGGAAGCCCTAAGAGGATGCCCAGCGTGGGAACTTAAGCATCCCCCAAGAGCGTCTAGTTCCCGCCCATACACCCGCGGGCCACACAGGGTACGGCTGGGATGGGGTGCCAGGAGGGAGGACGCCGCCTCCTCATCCCCGCCCATCCCGCTGCAGGGCTCCATCCCAGTCCAGCCAGCCATCCTTGGCTGACCAGAGGACACTTGGGACTCGGAGCTGGAGACTCCGAGGAGGAGCTTGCAGGGGTTGCCGGGGGTGGGCAGGTAGCGGCAGGCCAGGGACGGGGACTGGACTGCTCCGGGACCTCCAGGACACCCTCCTGCAGGTTCGGCCCGGAGTGGGGACGGTGAGTCAGATCTCCAGCACCCGCGGGCCGGGTGGGGAGGGGGTGGGGGTGGCAGGTCAGGAAATGACATCAGAGGCCTGTGCTAGGGGAAGGGTGGTCTGTGCCCGGCGGGGGAGGCGGCGAGTGGGGCGGTGGCGGGCCGACCTTTGCTGAGTCTCCGGCCGGAGCAGGACCGAGGCCCCTTCCTGGGGGAGTTTCCTGCGGGGTCCGTCCTCTCGGGCTCTCCCCGCCCCCTCTCCGGGCCGCTCCTTGTAAGGTCTGGGCGCCGCTCTCTCCCCGCCCCCTACCTCCCTCCTCCCTGCGCGCTGCGTCCCTCCCCGCCTGGCTGGAGCTGCTCGGGACCGGGACGCAGAGTCCGCGGACTGGGCGCCGACGCGGTCCTCCGAGACGCGGTGAGCACGCTCCCGCCCGCGGTGAGGCGCGGGGAGCCGCTCGGCCACCCCGGGAAAGGGGGTTGCGGGGCGGCACGGGTGGGGTCACCTGGGGAAACTCGGGGTGCCTGAGTGTCAGCCGGGTGCGGCGCTGCGTAACCTGGAGACCCACCCCCAGCAGCCCGGCCAGGCCATGGCGGCCCCCCGCCCGCCCCCCGCCATCTCCGTCTCCGTCTCGGCCCCGGCGTTTTACGCTCCGCAGAAGAAGTTCGCCCCGGTGGTGGCCCCGAAGCCCAAAGTGAATCCTTTCCGGCCTGGGGACAGCGAGTCTCCGGCGGTAGCCGGGGCCCAGCGAGCTCAGATGGGCCGAGTGGGCGAGATCCCCCCGCCGCCCCCAGAAGGTATGCGGCTGGACTTGGGGACCCCCGACCCCGCGGGAACCAGGGTGGGGGCGGTGGTTTCGGGAATTTGGGGGTGTCTGGAAAGGTTGTTGCGGAGGGGGCTGGGAGCAGCCACCCTGTCCCGAGCAGATGTTCTTACCTCATCGTGGAGCTTTTGGCTGTGCGCCAGGGCCCCTGGGACCGTTCCAAGTCTCCCGCCTGGGGGTGGGAGGCGGGAATGTGGGCCAGGAATCTTCCCCTCTGGATCCGTTCTCCGAAGTGTAACGGGAGCTGCATGGTTCCTCGGCCGAGTCCCCGGCCTGTCCCGACTTGGTCCTCGCACGGCGTCCTGGGCCCCTCCCTACAGTCCCCACAAGCCCTGAAATGGAGAAAAGACTTCTTGGGTTAGGGGTTAACGCGGCCCACCGAGGGGAAGGGGAAAGAGGGCCCGCATTGATGGCCTTCTCTCTCCTCCTTATCCAGACTTTCCCTTACCCCCTCCTCCCGTCCTTGGGGATGGCGACGACTCGGAGGGTGCTCTGGGAGGCGCTTTCCCACCTCCACCTCCCCCGATGATTGAGGAACCATTCCCCCCTGCGCCTCTGGAGGAGGACATCTTCCCCTCCCCGCCACCGCCCCTGGAGGAGGAGGGAGGGCCTGAGGCCCCCATCCCACCCCCACCGCAGGTAGGGAGGGCGATTTTACGGGGGACACCTCCACTGCCAGGAAAAGAGTTTCTCCCTTGGTGGGGTTGGGATGGAAAGGGAAGATTGGGATGGGTGCTCTGACCCCTGACCCTCCAGCCCAGGGAGAAAGTGAGCAGTATTGACCTGGAGATCGACTCTCTGTCCTCACTGCTGGATGACATGACCAAGAATGATCCTTTCAAAGCCCGGGTAAGGGGCAGGACAGTAGGAAAAGCTGGGGCGCAGAGGAGAGGAGTTACAGCCTCCTCTAAGTGCACTTCTCCCTATCTGCCTCCCCTACAGGTGTCATCTGGATATGTACCCCCGCCAGTTGCCACTCCATTTGTTCCCAAACCTAGTACCAAGCCTGTACCTGGGGGCACAGCACCCTTGCCTCCTTGGAAGACCCCTTCTAACACCCAGCCACTGCCTCAGCCTCAGGCCAAGCCTCAGGTCCAGCCTCAGGCTAAGCCTCAGGTCTACCCTCAGCCTGCTTCCTCTGATAACTTGCAGCCCCGAGGCCCCCCTGCTCCAGCTCCAACTCCAGCACCTAAGTTTACTCCAGTGGCTCCCAAATTTACTCCTGTGGCTTCCAAGTTCAGCCCTGGTGCCCCAAGTGGACCTGGGTCACAGCCCAATCAAAAATCAGGGCCTCTGGATGCTCCTCCTGCAGGCACAGGCTCCCCTCAGCCCCCCAGCTTCACTTATGCTCAGCAGAAGGAGAAGCCCCGAGTTCAGGAGAAGCAGCACCCAGTGCCTCCACCAACTCAAAACCAAAACCAGGTGAGGACCCCACAGGCTGAGACCAGGGCCTGGGTGGGACAGGCAGGAAATGGAGAATTAGGGACAGGTGTGTGTTGGGGGATAAGAGGAGTCAGAGTGGGTGTGGCAGTGGGGAATGGACTTTCCACCCTGTGGAGTTACCTGGTGGGACGGGTAGGGAGAAAAGACTGTTCTGGAAGAAACCTATTGCTGGCTGGGGCCTGACTCAGTAAACAGAGCAGCAAGGACTTAGAAGTAAGAGGATTGGGTCAACTTTCCCTTGTACTTCTGCCCCAGAATGTTGAAGGGGAGGATGAGATCACTAACTAGCCCAACCTTAGTTTTTCCCATTTTTGGGCCTTGAGTTAACTTACAGAGCCTGAGGGCCTATCTGGAGATAAGAACTCCAGCCCCGGTAAACACCTGATGGGCCACATCAGCTGACTGCCAGACACTGTGCTCTGTGCTTTAGAGACTGGAACAGGGGAGAGGAGAGACCTCTCAAACAGGTTCAGCCTTCTAAAGTCTTGGTTCTGGGATAGAATTCCCAGCCAGGTTTCTCATAAGGTTTTAGACTGCAGTCAAGTTGAACTTTGAGCCTTACTTTCTCTGTCTTTGAAATAACACACTCTATCCCAAATGGTGGTGAAGAGTAAGTAAGCTAATACTCTATCTAGTCCATAAATGCTCAAAATAGAAATAGACAATGCAGTTGTTGGCTTTTAGTTCAGGAGAAGAGATCTTTGGAGTTGATGGGACCCTGCTCCAACTACCTGTAAACACTGCTCGTAACAGTGAAAGGCAGTGTGTGCTCAGACACAATACAGGAAGGAGTACTGCTGAGTTCCTGTCATTTGGAATCCTGTGAGTTACAGGAACTTGACACAGGGAACCAAGGTGGGAACTGGCAAGTTTAAAAGCTTGGTGGGTTTAGTGTGCCTTCAAGTACTTGAGAACCCAGAAAGGAAAGGGAATAGCCTTTGGATGGGAATAGCATGCCCTAAACTCAGGAGTGCAAACACACAAGGGGTGCTTTCTGGAGAACAGAAAGCAAAGGTTCTTGTGGGAAAAGTTTTGAGCTGTACTTGAAGTCAGCGGGGGTAGGGAAACTAGGTAATGAAATCCCCAACAAGGAGCTTGTACGTATTGGAGAATCATTAATGATTTTTCAGTAGTCTGTGGTTTGGTCAGCAGGGCTGGTGAAAGCAGCTTTTGGAACTCTCTGGAAAGTTTTTCCAGCAGCAATGTGTATTAGAAGTAGGAAGATCTGTGGCATGGGTGAGTTCACTCTTGGGCCACAATAATATTAGTTATAATGAGAAACAAGACAGGACTGAGCTGTTCTAAAGGAAGAGCCTGAAGGAGGAGGCCACTGATAAGCAGCTGGGAGAGGAGGACAGAAATGCCAGGGTAATACTGCAGACAGAATAGAGAAGTGCAGAACGGGAAATGGTTTGGATGGGAAGAGGAGGGGTCCAGCTGTCCACATGTTGAGCAACAGGCTTCAGAACTCTTTCAGCTGGAACTGTCATTCAGCTAATGTGCAACTGTGATGTAGGAGGGGGCCTCAAACCAGAGGTGTGTGCATGACCATGCACATAGGGATGGATGTGGAGGCCACAGTAGCTGACAGTTTTTCAAGGACTGCATAGCAGGGAGCTGAGAGCCTCAGGAACCTTGGTCATACCATGGTGGCTGATGGGAAGGGAGGACAGTCAGCAAAGACGATGGAGGAGGATCCTATGATGGGATCCACAGAAGTGAATGTGATGACCTTGGCCTCTTCAGTTTGGGCTTCTGGAGTAGGACTCAGATAAGCCCAGAGATTGGACTCTTGGGATATCGTATAATGGCCTTGGGGGACTTTTTGTGCCCTGCAGTGAGGTAGAGTTGAGTGAGCAGGTGGTGGAGACATGGAAACTGATAGTCTAGCTTGCTCTCACGTTTGGCAGTGAAGCTGGGTATGGTGGCACATTACATGCCTGTAATCCCAACACGTGGGAGGCTGCAGCAGGATGTTTTCAAGGCCAGCCTGGGCTACATAGTGAGTTTAGGCTACAGTGAGACACACTCACACAGACATGCACAAAAAGGTTGGCAGCTAAAAGGAAGTGTGGGGGGGGGCAGTTAGGGGAGGAGAGTCCAGGTGTGTGTGTGTGTGTGTGTGTGTGTGTGAAGTTAGGGGAGGAGAGTCCAGGTGTGCTTGCCAAGCAGGAGGTAGAAGCTAGCGGGGATAGCAGGGGAGAAGGTGGTGATATCTCAGAGTGGGGACTGACCCCAGAAGCACTGGAGAGAGCAAGCCAGGGTTTGCTGTGGAGAGAAAGGAATATGAGGGAGTGTATGCTGGCTGACTGCCAGTCATTTAGGGGGTGAGGTCATTGGTGAGTGGGAGGAGGGGGTGAAGCTGTTGGGGGCTCAGGGAGATGGAAAAGGTTTGGAACAGCTGCTGTGGGGAAGGCAACTGGGAATCTGGTAGAGCCAAATACCAAACAGAGAAGCTGGGGCTAGAGGGCTGGAGGGTGTGGCGGGTGCTGCAGTATTTTGGGAGCTCTGCAGTGTTCAGTGATCTCTCCACCTACTTTCTGCAGTGTGGAGGCAGAAACAGGAAGCAGGCTGTGCTGTGTGACCCAGGGTTAGAGATTGAGCCAGATAACCTTGAGTGGCTGAGAGTGACAGAAGAGGCCTTTGTAGAAAGAGGTGGTCAAGAAGTCAGTCTGGAGGCTTGATAGAGAAGGCCCAAGGGCAGATTGCAAATGGGGACACCCAGTTCCTTCTGCTAGGCTGTTAGTGGCCTGGTGAAAGGTGAGGTGGGGATGGTTGGAATGCATCTTGGGAGAAAGAGATGGTAAACCGCAGATCCAAGGTGGTCCCGAGGTGGGAGGTAGCTTTGGGAGTTGAACAGTGACATTGCTACTGGCAGGCAGGGGAGGCAGCGGGCTGACAGTGTCCTGCAGGAAGGACACGGATACCCACAGGGAGGCGTGTGGTTCAGTAGTTTATTCTTCCAAAGGTGGAAGCAGGCTACAAACTTTCCAGAGAGCGCGGATGGGCTGAATTCCTTCCCTGTCTACAAAATGCTAGGAATCTTGGAAGAGGAAAGTGGTGAAGTTTGTATTCAGGGACCCCTGTAAGTTAAGAGTAGGAGATGACAAGCATCATAAAGGAAAGTGGCTAAGGTCTGGGCTACTGTGACTTCTAGGTAGGGTACATTGGGGCAGGTACAGCTCTGAGCACAGTTCTCGGTTTAGAGGGTCAGAGAAAACTGGTGGAGAGGAGGTAGCAAGGGGCTTCAGGGTTCCAGGGGTTGGAGGACTGATGGCATCAGCAGGTGATGGGGGGGTCTGGGTGGACTTAACCCAGCGATAGAGAATATCCACGCGATTTCTTGTGGGAATGTCTCATGGACACTCTGGTGCAGGTCACATAGCCGGTCCCCAATTCTCAGGAATCTGAAATGCCCTGTCCCTAAGGAGGATAACCCCCTCCCACCCCTGGTTTCCTGCTCTCAAGGTCCCTTACATAAGGAGGGATGGATGGGCTGGCCTAGAAACTGGCCTTTGGATCTCCATTGAGATCCACTGGGGGAGGAGTATGGATCAGGTAGACTAGACCCCTCACTTAGGAGGGACCCCAGGGTGTCTGTCTGTGTGGGGAACCAGGGGCTGGGCACACAGCCTACAGCTTTAGGGGTCTAACCTGTGCTTCCCGCCTGTGTTGCATTCTCATGCTGACAGGGGCTGCTCAGCAGCAGGCGGGACGGGACGGGTAGGTGTGTGTGTGCTTGTGTGCATGCCATTGCCCCTCATCTGGGGGCCCTGTCTGAGCATGCTCTGTGAAGTTGGTGTGTGGCTCTGGTGCGTTCGCTGCTTTAGTGACCTGAGCTGCTGTGTGTATGGCCTCCTTTGCTCAGTTGTTCTGGCCTATCTGTGACTGCCTGGGGGTGCAAGGGTTTGGGCTATTTGGTCAAAATACCCACCTGTAGGAGATAGAGGCTAAGGTCATCCCTGCCCCTGTGTTACATGTCCATTGTGGGAGGCAGGGAAGTGTCAGGGCAGGGATAGGGAGGGAGGAACTTGAAAAGCCCAAGCTGAGCACTTAGAGAGCAAGATGGAAACTTAAGTCTCCATGGAAGAAAAGAGTCAGCTGGCCATCCTGGGAAGATTCTTGAAGAATATGAAAAAAGCGTTGGGATTTTAGGTGCGCTCTCCTGGGGGCCCAGGACCCTTGACTCTGAAGGAGGTGGAGGAGTTGGAGCAGCTGACCCAGCAGCTGATGCAGGATATGGAGCATCCTCAGAGGCAGAATGTGGCTGTGAATGGTGAGCCCACCACCCACTCTGCGGGGATGCCTCCCTCTGTGCTCATGCTTGTGGGGCATGAGCTTACAGATGCGTTGTGAGCTTGTGTCCATCATCCAACTGAGATGCAATTCTCTGGCCTTCTCAGAGTCCTGTGGCCGATGCCATGAGCCCCTAGCCCGCACTCAGCCTGCAGTCCGTGCACTGGGACAGCTGTTCCATATTGCCTGCTTCACTTGTCACCAGTGTGAGCAGCAGCTCCAAGGACAGCAGTTCTACAGTCTGGAGGGGGCGCCGTATTGTGAGGGCTGCTATACCGTGAGTCTGGGGTGGGGCTTCTGGCTGGGATAGGGTGGGGTGAGTCTCAAAAGCTGGTCCTTGGGTACTCTTGTTCCCCACCAACCTGCTCTGATTGTCTCCTAGGACACCCTAGAGAAATGCAACACCTGTGGGCAGCCCATCACTGACCGCATGCTGAGGGCCACTGGCAAAGCCTACCACCCACAGTGCTTCACCTGTGTGGTCTGCGCCTGCCCCCTGGAGGGTACCTCCTTCATTGTGGACCAGGCCAACAGGCCCCACTGTGTCCCTGACTATCACAAGTGAGGACCTTTCACATCTCTTCTGGGTTCCATCTTTGTTTTCTGGTAACCAAGCTGCCACACACCCCAGATTTTGCTTTCTAGCCCCACATCCAATGTGGCCCTAGGCCTGAATAGGAGTCCTGTGTCTGGCTGTTTCCACTTTAGCCTTGACTCTGAGGCTTCTTTGGATGTGTCCTGTGCTCAGCCCTGGGTCCTACAGTGACTGTGTTCACAAGTTCTGAAAGTGCCTTTTGACTCAGCTGCTTGGGGTCCTTTCTTTTCCCTAAAAAAACAGTTCATAGGGTAGCTGCTTTCTCAGGCTGGCTGGCAAAGTACCAACATGTGGCTATAGGATGGGAAAACTGCCATCCCCCCTGCCCCCGTCCTGTCCCCTGTCCCCTACCTTGGACAATGTGTCTGGGTAGATACATTTTTAGGATTCTATGGGTGACTAGAACTCCTGGTCCCTGTTCTCCTTGGGGTCAGCTTGCTGGCATCCACATGTGCTTCCTTAGGAAACCTGCTGAGCAGTGTGGGTGGGGCTGGGGTGTGGGAGCAAACACCTGAGACAGGTGTGGGACTGAGCATTGTGTGAATGGGGAAGCAGGAAATTCCTCTTGATAAGGCCTGCTGTGTGGTTGGTCTCTGGCCTTTCTTGTGAATTTGCTCCACCCAGACATGTGGGACAAGCAGGTGTTCCATGTGGCCATGGCACCTCTGCCTCCCTACTCTCTGCCCTCCTAGGGGCTGAAAGCCTAGGTGCCCTGGCCCCACAGACCTCATGACCCTGCTTTCTAACCTTTTAGGCAATACGCCCCAAGGTGCTCTGTCTGCTCTGAGCCCATCATGCCTGAGCCTGGCCGCGATGAAACCGTGCGAGTAGTGGCTTTGGACAAGAACTTCCATATGAAGTGCTACAAGTGTGAGGTCCGCTGTCTTGGGGAGGTCATGTTGAGCCATTCTTCCCATTGGGAGGAAGAGTGGGTGTTTTGTTTTTGGGGTGTGTGTGTGTGTTTGTGTTTGTCTCCTGGGATGTGGGTGCCAGAGGTTATAGAAATGAGAAGCAGTCAGAATGGAGTTGGGACAGGATGGGAGAGGTGCCACATATGCACTAGGGTGGCAGGGAGTGATTACCCTGGAAACTGTCTTCTCTGCTCTTCCTGTAAGAGGCTTGGTGAGAGGCTGGTGGTGGTGTATTCCTTTAATCCCAGCACTGGGGAGGCAGAGGCAGGTGGGTCTCTGTGAGTTGAAGCTCAGCCTGGTCTACATAGAGAGTTCCAGGCCAGCTGGGGCTACAGGGAGATCCTTTTAAAAAAAAATACGGGGAGAAAAAAGACCTGGTGAGGAATGGAGAAGGTAGTGTGGTCAGGAAGACCCATGTGACCAGGATGTTAGCTTTGACACTGCGAAACACTGGGTCTTTCTAATTCAGCTGGAGCCGAAGGATAGTAGGTAGAGCAGGAACCTTTCTGGCCAGGGCCCCTCTTACTCGTCCTTCTTTCCAGGACTGTGGGAAGCCCCTGTCCATTGAGGCAGACGACAACGGCTGCTTCCCTCTGGATGGCCATGTCCTTTGTCGGAAGTGCCACACTGCTAGAGCCCAGACCTGAGAATGAGCCTCCTTCCAGACCACAGGTCCATTCCCCATCATGGATCACCCACACTGAAATCAGTACTTGCCTCTACCCTACCTGTCCCTCCCTCCATTCCAAACCGCTCTCCAGTATCTCAAGTTCCCTGACCTAGGGCCTCAGCGTGGCCTCGAGGTGCTGAGGCCCAGCCCTGGGCTCCAGCCCTAGCCTCTCCTGCAGGGATTGCCCACTGTCCTGAGGTCCCCACCTAAGGGGCCCCAGTTAGTGCTGCTGCTTTCACTGCTGCACCGATGCCCTTGGCTGGCCTGAGCAGCCTATGCAATCTGCTTGCTGAGGGTAGGAGAAGCCCTGACCTTCTGGCAACCTGGCCCCAGCAGCCTGGACACCTACCCTGCCCCGTGCTGCCAGATGGTGGTCACAGCTAAGATTAAAATAATTTCTTTTTCCAGAATTTTCAGTAGTTGACTCTTTGCTAACACCTAAGCTCCTGGGGGTAAATGGAATAGGTGGAAAAAAAGATCAGGGGTATGGATGAAAACTCAGCTCCTGTTTATTTACAAAAATAGATAGTGCATATATAAGTATATATATATTAAACCCTCCCCCAGTGCCCGCCCACCCACAATCCCCTTCTCTTGTACCCCCACCTCCCTTTTAAAAACAAAGGCTCCTGGGTCCAAAGGCAGAGTCCTGGATGAGTGGGCAGGAGCAGCACCAATAGTCTGTGTCTCATAGGCTGAGGAAAGGCCCAGGGAGTGACTGTGGCCCTTTCCTTGCTCATGAAGGGGGGCGCCAAAGGCTCAGGCATCTTTGTGGTGGTCACTCAATCCTTAAACCCTTGAATACTGCAGAGAATGCGCTTCTGATGTCCTGGCAGTGTGATTCCCATCTGGGTCAGGTCCCTGTGGAAGACAAAGGGAGGACATGAGTCTAGAGCCTCATACCCCAGCCATCCTCCCATGCCCAGGCTGCCCATCTCCAGACTCCTCACTCGGCCGTTAGTTCCAGCACACACTCCATGGTGTCCAGCCCGGCCGAGCGGAAGTGCAGAATGTAGCGCTTCATGCGTATGGACTCAAGCCACTCAGAGACACTTCGATAAGGGATCCCATCAGACCCACTCAGGCTGGGCAGGCGGAGAGTCACCCTGTGGGATATCAAGCCATGTTTGTTCCCCCTGAGTATAGGAGCTGTTTGGCCTGGGCACCCATATTGCAGCCAGCATTGAGTTGGGTGCTTGCATTTAGCGCGTTTCAATCCTGCATATAAGCCAGCATTATCTGAGTCTACTTCCTGGCCTGTTTCCTGGTGTGTTCCACTCACAGCAGCGGGTGGGCAGCTGACTGACCTGTTGTTCCATGGACCGATCTAGGAAGGTGCCTGCCACAGGGATCCCTAATGAAATGAGCCCCCAGCCTTTTAGACACAAATGTTGTGGTTGAGATGAACCAGAAGGCAGGAGATGGGGCTCTGCAGCTAGTGACTGTCTTGCATTTTCTAAAGTGGCCACCTAGGAACAGCCCTTTCTTGCTTCTTTCAACCCTGACTGTTATTCTTACGCTGATACCCACAATACAATGAGTGTTCCTGTATGAAAGCCAGCCAGAGCCAAAAGCCATTAGAAAAGTAAATCTGCTGGGGAAAAAATATCCAGCATTCCAAAAAGATTAGCACACACAGTCTCCAGCGTCCGAGGGAGACTGTCCAAAAGATAGTTTCAAAAATTGGAACTTGGAACACAGTATCTCCCAGAAACAAGGTTATATATGGTGGGTTTGATACAGAGGCCAGTATGCCAGGCTGCCTTATCCAATAAAGCACTTGAAGTCTGACCTTGCCTGGCTCCTCAGCTGGATCCCCTCCCTCCACTTAATTCTCTACATTCTGGCCATGTTTTATTTGAGAAACTGGTCAACAGTTCTGTGTTCTCACGAGGTCCCACCTTAGCAGGGCTGGACCTCGGCCCCGACCCCTACTGCCTCCCGTTTCAGGGATGTCATTCAGTTTTGCCTGTGATCTGTTAACTCTCAGCTCCTGGCCATGTGGCCAGAGGTCTACTCAGACCCCCACCCCCCACAGCCCCTCATCCTATCCCCACCCAACCTAGCTGCCTAAGTTCCCAGGAGCAGGAACTGGCTGTAGCCCTTGTTGTATCTCTGATGTTCAGCAAATAATTTATACTAGTAGGTGCTCCAAAATTTGTTAAATCTATGAACTGTTCCTCCACATGCAAGAATATTTCTGTGGGGAAAAGGATGCATTCCAGGGCCCCAATGGCCACAGAAATACCACAGAGATGCGGCTCTGGTCCTGGTGCGGTATAACGATATAAGCAGGATTGGCTCCAGGAAGGGCCAAGAGGAAAAGTGAGGTGAGTAACCTAGAGCTAACTTTTTTTTTTTTTCTTTTTTTTTTTTTTTTTTTTTGTTGTCTTTTTGAGACAGGGTCTCCTTGTAGCCCCAGCTGTCCTGGAACTCACTATGTAGCTAGCTTTTTAAAAATAATATTTTGATTTTATATATATAAGTGTATTGCCTGCATGTATATAAGTGTACCACATGCGTTCAATGCCCCACAGAGGCTAGAAGTGTGTTCAATCCCCTGGATCTGGAGTTACAGATGGTTGTTAGCTGCCATGTGGGTGCTGGGAATTGAAACTGGGTCCTCTGGAAGAATAGTAAGTGTTCTGAACTGCTGACCATTTCTCCAGCCCTAAATTAACTTTTTAAATAGTTCCTTTTAAAATTCCTCTGTTCATTCCAGTTTAGAGTGCTGCTTGTGTTCTACTTTCCATCAAACTAAAGCCACAGTGGGTAGGGCCTTACTTCCAATAGTCTCAGCTCTCCCAGAGGGCATGGACTGAGTCCTGCCTCATATGCTGGCCTCTGTCCAGAGCTCCCCAGGTCCCAGCACCCAGTGGATGGGAATGGAATACCCATTTTTATTTTTCAAGATTTGACCTCAGAAATCCCATCCTTCGTGAACATAGTTACCTGGGATCAAAGTTGGCAATAGTTCTTAGGGAGTGGGGGTCGGTAAGCAACTGTTCCAGATGTGCCTGGAGCTGGAGGAAGTGGGGCCGACGGGTGCGGTCATAAGCCCAACAGTTCTTCATGAGTTCATACAGAGGGGCCGGGCAGTCCACTGGAGGGGGCAACCGGTACCCATCCTCAATGCTCTTCATCACCTAAAGCAGGAGACAGGTAGCCCTAGGTAGGAAACTAGATCCAGAACAAAACTGCTCATACAAGATCATTGCGTTGTTGCCCCTGTGCACCCCAGACCAGGGTAACGAGCAAAGGATGAAGCAAAGGGACCACAGGAAATAGGAGGGTAAAAAAAATTGGAGTCAGAAAGAAATATTTGTAGGTGAGACCATTGGAGGGATTTGGGAGATGATAGGAGGTGTGTCAGGGATGACGTGGGGAATAATATTCCACTCACCTCCTGATTGCTCATCTCTCCATAGGGCTTGTCCCCAAAGCTGAGCACCTCCCACATGACAATGCCAAAGCTCCACACATCACTGGCCGTGGTGAAGATCCGATGGGCAATGGCTTCTGGGGCTGTCCAACGGATGGGGATCTTTCCTCCCTAGAAGGCATGGCACAGAAAAGTGATCTTTCAGGGCGTGGGTGGAAAATGGGGTTGGAAGGGATTAAGACTACCCACACGAGCACAAGACCTTGTGGTTCTGCATGGGTCACCATATGAACAGTACATGCAAATGTGTGTGTGCATGAGACTCTAACCTGTGTTTCATAGGTGCCATCAAAGTCATCTAGGAGGCGGGTTAGGCCAAAGTCAGACACCTTGCAGCACAGGTTCCGATTCACCAAGATGTTCCTGGCAGCCAGGTCTCGATGGACATAATTGTGGTCACTGAGGTAGTTCATGCCAGATGCTATGCCCTGCAGCATGGCCACTAGCTGCCCAGGAGCCAGCTGGTCCTCCCGTTCCTGTAGCAGGGTGAATGGGTATGTCAGAGGAAGGCATTAGGCTCTGTGGTGCCATCCCTCCCCAGCTAGTCCTGGGCCCAGCTCACCTTCAGAAAGGCATCCAGGGCTCCATTCTCCATAAACTCTGTGATGATCATGATGGGCTTTCCTGAGACACATATGCAGCATGTTGGGGCCCTACACTTCCTCCCTTTGGCAGCCCACTCCCCACCTCCTCATTCCCCATCCCCACACACTCCACTCCAGCTCATGTGAACCACTGCTCATACTTTTTGTGATGACACCTTCCAGGTGCAGAATGTGTGGGTGGTTGAACTGGCCCATGATAGTCGCTTCACGAAGGAAATTCCACCAATGGCCATCTGGGGACGCGTCTTTCAAGGTCTTAATGGCTACAGTCTTATATTCTTTGTTGGGAAGTCTCAGGGCCCCACGATACACTTCCCCAAACTCTCCTGGATGGGAGGTAAACAAAGCTGTGGCCTGATGCACTGCCAGGCTACTCCAGGGCCAGGCAGTGATGCCTCCAGTCCTCTAGCCTCTTTATTTCTGAAAAATCTGGAGGTTAGGTGGTTCTCCTGTGGTTAGCACACAACTTGGCTTACAGCAAGTGCTCACTAAATACAGGGAATGAGCCCTGTGCAGAGGGGCTGAGTTGTGTTTCTGAAAGACAAGATGGTCCATGGCTAGTACCCAAGAAACAAGAGGCTGGCCCTTACTGCCCATCTTCCGTGAGCTCCCTGGTCACAGCTTGGCTGGCTTGGCTGCACCATTGACAGGGACACTGCCAAGCTTTGTTCTCTGTTGAGATCCATTTTCCCTGGTGACCCAGGGGATTGGGGCAGCCCAAGGACACTGGGCCCCTGATGGCATGGAACGTTAGTCTATGGAGGCTCTGACTTCCCCCACTTTGGGAACCATCTGAGAACAGCGTGCACCTTGGCACAGCAATACCTCTATGGACAGAGATGACGTGTTTAACATTCTTTATCAGAAACCCCATAACCACAGAACAAAATGTGTAGGAGGCCGAGGCTGCTCCAGGGCATAGCAGTTCAAGGACACAGGATAGAGTAGGCATGGGCTCATCTGGGAGCTCAGGGCAGAAGTAAGGGACCTGCTGGAAGTCCTGTGACCCCACACAAAGGAGACCAGCTTGCGGGGAGGTGTCACAGCAGGGCTCACCTTCCCCTATGACAGTGTCCACATTCAGACAGGCTGGGTCCAGTTCCTGGGCAAAATCTGCTCCCTGTGCAGGGTCCTCATAGGCCTGGAGGTCCACGTAGGGTTTTAGCCACAACTTGTCCTCTAGGGATGACAAAGGTGCTCAGTCTCTGCAGCACTCTTGAGGGCTCAGAGCATGGAGGGTCAGAAAGGTCAATAGCTGAGCCCATTCTTCAGACTTCTCTCCTCTCTGAGATAAGCCTGGTTTTGGCTTAAGCAGAGAATGTCTGTATTCTTAGCAACGAAGCCTCCACATCCCAGTCTTTCTCCTTCCTGTCTTTGCTCCAAGCTCTTCTGTCTTCACTGTTGAGGGTTCACAACAGTGGCCAGAACGCAGGCCCAGGAGCAAATTCCCTACCCTGAGTTACCCAATCTTCTCACAACTCATGACCCAGCTTCTGTCCCCAAGCCATGCAAGTCAGTCACACCTCATTCACTCTAGACGAAGCCTCCCTCCAATGCCAGCTACTCAGATGGACAACAGACTCTCCCTCTGGCAGAGCCACCTAATGAGGTGACAGGCAGGAAGCCTACATGCCTCAGAGGACTTCAACCCCATCTTGGCTGGCCTCAGCTCACAGACCTGGCGACTAGGATGGAGAAGGCTGCCCAGAGCTCACAGTGGTGGTGCACTGGCACCAACAGCTAGCAGATAATTGCATCAGAGTTGCTGACAGCTATCAGGGCAGAGTTAATTAACCAAAATTAATTAGGTGGCAAAACACAAGAGCCCTAGGGACAAAAAAGCCCACTGACACTCTCAAAGTTGACCTTACAATGTAGGCCCCTTGGTTGCTTCCTAGTGGCAAAACACACACACACACACACACATACACACAGAGGAGCACTTATCCTGGCTCACCTCGATCAACTTCGGTGACCTGCTCATGCTGCCTCTGCTGTCTCTGCCGCTGGCCTTTCCTGTGGGGAGTGGGGCGACATCTTCAGGGACCTCGGGAAACTTCAGCAGCCTAGTGGGATCTGGTTGAATTTGCCCCAGATATGAGCTGGGTGTGCAGGATGGATGTGGGGCCACACCTGAGCTTTGGTGCTAGGGGATAGGAGGGACATCAGGGCTACAATTGGGGCTTCTAAGCAGGCAAAGGGATCTGGGGATGGTGGGTGGGGAGAAGGATGGAGCCAGCACCTTGAACGAAAGACATGAATTCCAATCAGCAGAGCTATACCAAGCAGTAAGCCAAAGATGATTGCCACGATCTCTCCTCCGGTCAGGCTCCTGGAAACTGGGCATAGGGGTAAGAAATTTGGGGGCTCAGAACCCACACAGGTGATGGAGATTGGAAGGTATACTGAGGGTATACGAGGATCAGTTCTCTTAGTGGACATTGGGCCCATGTCTCCCTTAATGGAGAGAGCTGTGAAGTGTGTGTGTGTGTGTGTGTGTGTGTGTGTGTGTGTGTGTGTATACAAAGAGCTAGGGTCACTAGCTGGAACACAACACAAGTGCCTCTGTGGGATGACAAGTGTGTTGGGGTGGACAAGAGACAGATAACCTACCTGGTGGGCTCGTCCGAAACTCATGGTCAGGGGAGAAAGGACCAGGGCCCAGTGGGGTCAGTGTCCGCACTCTGACGATGTATGTGGTATCTGGCTGCAGTTTTGTCAGCAAGACCCTGGGTTCCAGAACCATTTGGTGCCATTCTTCATCCTATGGGTAGGACTTGTGTTAATGAGGTTGTGCAGAGCCAGACTTTGGTAGAGAGGATAGAGAGACGTGGAAACACCTGGACAGGGTTGGAGTCTGTGGTAAGATCAGAGACCTTTGCAGATCTTTATCCTGAGAAAACCAGTTTGCTTTGTTTGTTTTCCCCCATCCAATATCCCAAATTGGGATTATCAGGGTACACCCAGACATAGATGCTGAAGGCTGTCTTCCAGTAACTTTCTGACCTGGTTCAGCACATGCAGCTCGTAGCTCAGATTTCCCCCAGGACTTCGGGACCGAGATCCTGCCCAGGTTAGTTCCAGCTGTCTGGGTTCTTTTTTCACCAGCCTCAGCGACAAGCCTGAGAGTGACTCTGGACATCCGGAGTGATGGTTGAATTTGGAAGGAAAGAAGGAGTAACTTAAGTAGCATTTCCACTGCCTCCTGCCCATCACTCTTCCCTGTGGTCTTGGACCCTCTGTTCACTCAAGGTGCCTCACCTGCATGCCCCATGTTGATGCTGAGGGAAGCGCTGTCTGGGCTGGAGCTGTCTAGCCCTGACACTCCGTTTTGGGATTTGACGGTAAAGGTATAGTTGGCATAAGGCTCGAGGCCTTCCACTTGCACAGATGGTGTGGTGAGCCCCACAGCCCGTGGGGAGAAGCGCACGCCTGTTCCACAGGGCTGGCAGGGGGCCCCATCCTTCACAGTGCCCTGGCACTGCAAGCACTCCACACTGTAACTGATGTCCTGGCGTCCTCCTGTATCTGTGGGGGGTTCCCAGTGCAGGGAGAGCTGAGTCCCTGATGCAGAGAAACTCAGATTTTGGGGAGCTGATGGGGGACCTGTGGGAGAAGAGTCATCAAGTAGGTACCAAATGGTACCAGATTTGCTCTCATCTGAGCTGTTGACCCCTTCCTGTGCCTATCACTCCAATTTCTGAAGGCCTATAAAGCTCTTCCAAGACATCTGACCTCTACCAAAGAGGAAGTAGTGTAACCACACCTCTGCACTCTCCTAGGGAGAACAGTGGGCAGGGGTAGGCTGTAGTCAGTGTTTGGCACTCTGGATCTCCATTATCCAATAAGCTATAGAAAGTCCTGGCCTCAAGCAGGGCTCAGCAGAGGCCTAGTGCCTGCTGCCAGAATGCCAGGCCCTGGACCCAGGACTCACGTGTGCATGCTACCTGGGGGCCCTCCCCAGGGGCTCGGTGATGGCCACTCTCACAGGTGCACAGGGTGGCCGCTTCAGACTCTGCTGTGCTGTGTCGGGGGCATTTGAGGCAATGGGGTGTGTCCATGTCTGTCCTGTAGGAGCCACTAGGGCAGGCTGAAGAGAGAAAGCAGAACCATAGTTTTCTGTTATAGCAAGAACCAACCCCATGTACTTCCGCATGCTCTCCACCCCAACCGCTGGTATGGGAACACCCCTGAATACATTTCACTTGGGTTAAAAACCACTGAAATGAAACATAGGATTCCTTCCTATCTTGGCACCCAGAAAACCCTCCCAGGTGGTCACTGGGGCCTCCCACCACCTCCATCCTTACCAGTGCATCCCATGCTGTCACTGGTTTTCTCATAGCCAGGCTCGCAGTGACACTGGCCCACAGGCACCAGCCACTCACCATCAGGGCTGCAGTGCATGCGGGGTATACCTGAAGCCCCAGGGCTGAGTTGTGCATGGGGCAGACAGGTCCCAGACACTTCTACCAACCCTCCAGGGCCAGGGAGAGTGTCAGGGAATTGGGCTAAGCCATGCACGGCCTCTGGACAGCGCTGGTAGAACACTCTTACAGATACCAGGGCCACACAGGCACCAGGGTTTTGGAAAGCAAGGTAGAGGCCACGGCGGGTCAGACGGCCCAAGGAGCAGCGCTCCACATTCAGCTTCACAGAGCCAGAGGCAAGGTCTCTGATGGTAAAGCTTTGGTCTGCAGCCACTGTGGTTACCTGGGGGAAGACGTGGAAGGAGTGATAGCAAACTCATGCTTCATCCCCACATAACAAATCAACTCTGCTTCATATAGATTGAGGATCCATAATCTAAAAATCCCAAACCTGAAGTGTTCTCAAACCTGACAGTGCCTATATATCGTGCCACAAATGGAAATTTCCATACAAGCTCTCATGTGACAGATCACAGCAAAAATGCAAGCACACTTTAAAAAAGTTGTTTAAAATGACCTTCATGCTATGTGTGTGAGGACATAAATGAAACAAATCAACTTCATGTTTAGACTTGAGTTACATCCCCAAGTTATGTCTCTATAAATATTCCAGCGTCTGAAATCTGGAACACTTCCAACTCCAAGTGCTGTGGATAAGGAATGCTTAATTTGCATTGCCATGACTGAAGAGCTTATGACGTAAGAGGTCCCGGGCTAAGCATTTTGTAGACATTATGCTATTTAGCTCATCCTATGAAACAAGATGTCTCATCATTTTACTTAACAGATGAGGAAATTAAAGCCCAGACAAATCAGAGAACTTCTAGAAGACCTATAACTACAACATGATGGGGCTAGGATTGGAACCCAGGAAGCAGAATCCTACAGCCATAAACTTTCTACTACTAGGAGGTGTGTGTCCAAGCTATGCCAATAAGATGATCAGTTAGTTATAGAGTGTGTCATAATTAATTTATTACCAGTAACAAACTTTACAACCTTTGCTCTTTGGAGAGAAATGAGAGCACCTCCTATAATAATAGGCTTCTAACTGTTTTGCATTCCAGTCTGTTTCCACACTAGGAAAGAAAGGGATGGTACTAGAGATTGGTAGAAGAGAACTGTTCCATTAGCTCCAACTATAGTTATGAGGGGCCTGTCATGTGACATACGGTACCAAAATGCAAAGTCAGAAAGCCTCCATACTACATGTCCTTTTTCAACTAGAGTTGTGCTATCTCAGTGCATGCAAGTAAGAGCCTTTAAATGGATAAGCTGTTCCTATTATTAATACTATTGTATGACAAGGTAACCAGTGCTTGGAAGGGGTTAAATTACATCCCCAAAGCCAGCACACAGCCTTTCTGGTATCTAGTCTCGCCTTCTTTTCCTTAGTCTGCATTTGTAGTTGCTTTGAGTCTCTGACCTGTTTTTTCTTAGCTGAGCTAGGTCATGGTCAGAAGCTAGGCAAGGATCTGTCAGGGATGGGATGGCATAGGAGGGGCAGCAACACCTTTTGGAACAAGGGCCGTCGGAGCTGAATGCCCACATCGTGGTCACTCTCCATGTACAGGAGGTTGAAGGTCTCCTTGCAGCCCAGAGGCCCAGCTCCTCCAGGGAAGCTCTTGCAATCGCGCACAGTGAACTGCAGCTCTACGTGGACACGTGAATCTTCCTCCCCTCGGTAGATCCAATTGGAGCGAAGCCAGTGGTCAGTGTCTCCAACTTCCTGTACTGGGCAGTCCTGGTACATGTACAGAGGTGTCCCATTCAGCATCTGTTGCACCTCACTCCACTGTGAAGAGAATCACAGTCAGGGACCACAGCTGAGGAGGAGGAATCCAGAGTCAGATCCCCCAGGTTCCTGCAATTTGTTCTGCCTAACCTGACCTTTCAGCTCCAGGACAGTCAGGTTCAGTGTTTCAGGTTGGAGGGTTTACTTGGATTTGGGGTTGATAAGATAACAACCCTGAACGGGTATGGTGGTGCATACCTTTAGTCCCAGCACTTGGGAGGCAGAGGCAGGAGAATCTCTGTGAATTCAAGGCCAGCCTGGTCTCCATAGCAGACCCTGTCTCAAAGATAACAACCTTTTAACATGCTAAGCCTGCCCCGGTCCCTTCAGTTAGCTTGTTCCAAAACAAGAATGAGAGCAAGAATTTTTACATAGTTCATCAGCAGAGCTGTCAGGTATTCCAAAGGCGACGCTCGCTCAAAGCCTGTCTGCCTGCTGTTCAGAGGAGACTTATTTAATCAGCAGAGCCTCTGCTTCTGGAGGGCAAAGCCAATCACAGAACTGTCTCTATGGGAGTTCACTCTGCAATATTCCTTCTAGTTATAACTATTACCAAAATCTCCATTAAGAGTTGGCTACACTCCCAGGCACTACCTAGTCTGCCCCCTTAACTTTTTTAAAATTTTCTCTCCTCTTTTTTTTAACATTGAAAGAATTTTTAAATCTAGTAATCACAATGGCTGGCATGAATATAGCTTTTCCCACAGGGCAGTCAGTGCTTTACAGTCACTGACAGAGAGCCAGTGTGGAGTGACTCGCCCAACAGCTGAGGGACCTGCTTAGGTATCAAGAGGCAGATACGGGATGTAAAGCCATGCACTTGGGTCCAGAGTTCATACTCTTAATCATCAGGTCTCCCCTTATTCGAGGTCAAAGAATCAACTTTCAAAGGTTAAGTCTTCCCATCCACTTATCTTTATTCCGTCAGGCAGCCATTCGTAACAGTTTGGTGTAAAGTTTTCCAGACCACTTTCAAAGCCCCCAGAGAAATGTCTAAATGGTTCTTTTTTTTAGCATAAATATCACACAGGAGTTGTTTTGTAAAATACTTTGTTGTAACAAATAATGCCTTGGACTGATGTCTGTGTGGCCTGTCTCTTTTTCAGCAATATGCAAATAGTACCCTATTATACAGATGTACCACAATTGCTTAATCATTCACCTATTATTGTACAACTAGGTAGCGTCTAGCTTTTTTTTTAATTTTAGGAAAATATACTGATGGATATGATTTCTATAGAGTTACTGAATCAAAAGATATACTACAAATTTTATAAGGTACGGCTAAACTGTCCTCTAAAAGACTCTGCCAGCTTATATATATTTTCATTAAAAGTGTAAGAGTTCATTTTCTAGAATGCTCATCAACAGTGATACTAATGCTCTTTCCACTTTGTGCCAATTCCATGCTCAAAACAGCTTCTTACCATTCCACGTCACCTTTCTTTAAGGGAGGTTGTGTTTCTCTTTTGCTCATTGGTTATTTATATTTTTACACAATTATCTATCCTATTATCACCATTATTCACTTGGATAAACTTTTAAACATGCATTATAGGTAGTATTTGCTTGACCTGTATGTTTCAAATACTCTCTGCCATGCCACTTTTTGGTTAATGGTTCCTTTTATGTGGAAAACACATTTTACATTATGAGTTTTGGACTGCATAGTATTTTGGCTCAGAAACTCCCATGCCAAGATTATAAATTTCTTTTTATCTTTTGTCTTAAAATTTTTATAGGCTAGCTTTTTAGGTTTGAATTTTAATCTCCCTAGAATTTCCTTTTTGTATATGATAGGGCATAAAGAGGTGTTTTTATTTCCTTCTTTCTTAAAAATTATAGACCTCCAGTGGTCAATATGGTCATTAGTCAATACTTTGGGGGCTCAGTACACACCCCATAGTTTGAGATAATTGTATGGAAAACCCTAACCTACTGGATTAGCTCAAAGAAGCTGTCCATCTTTGAAGGAGATCTACGTCAGTGAGATATCAGAACCAGGAAGGCTGCTCAGAGAAAACGTCTACTACCCCACAGACTTTTTGATGGGCACAGCAGGACAGCCTTTGTTCATTTCACACTAGGGCCTGTCACCACCTCCCTACCCCCACTCCTTTCCAAAGCTGAGGAAAACACACAAGCTACAAACCGCTGACCTTTCTTGGAGTTTCATCCTGTGTGAATGCAGGTAATTAAAATAGTGCTTCTCCTGTTAATCTATCATGTGCTGTCAATTTTACAGGCTTGTTTAGGGCTTATGGAGAGGGTAGAGAATATCTCTGTCCCCTACAACACTTTCCATATCGACTTGCAGTTTCCATGTTGTATAAATATGGGTTTGCTTTCAGACTTTCTAAGCTATTCCATTGGCCTGGGTGTTCTTCTCAAGGTTCCAGATTTTAATTACTGTTGATGTTCTGATTATCTGTTGATGGAACAGATATTGTTCTTCATCAGTAACATTTCTTAATTATTTTCTTGGCTAGAGAGAAGTACATGAATTTTATAAACCATTCCATTGATATTTTGAATACCACTCTGTAATTTGCTAGAGAAGAGACTGGGGCCCTAAGAAAGTTTACCCTGAGGCTTCCCTCTGCTCTGCTGAATGGACCCTCAGGACAAAACAGTCTTATTAATTACAGATTGGTAGTGGGGTGGGGCTATTGTGAGGCACATACTTCTGCATTATATGGCAGAGTACAAGGATCAGGCAAGGGATGTCTGAAAGGCCACAAAGCTGGGGTGTAAGGTCACCTAGAGCAGGTACTATGAGGAAGCTCTGTGGTGGAGGGCAAGCAGAAGGCAGAGGGCCTGGGGCAGGTAGACAGGGTGGTCGGGTGGTAATATGCAGCACAGTAGCCAGATTGCTAAGGCTGCAGCTGGAGCCTAGGGAAGCAGATGTTCCCAGCTGTATCTGCCTCTCCCAGTTACAGCAGTGACAGATGGGGAGAACCAGTGGGCCAGAAACAGCAATAAGGAACCTTTCACTTAACACTCAAGAGCGGCTGGCAGCTACAGGGGTTGATTCTGGGGAGCCTGACTCTGTGGTCCTATCTGTTTTAGAATGAGGGGAGGGAAGACAAGGTAGAGAGAGGGAGTGTGCTGCGTTGCTCTTCTAGTTAGTACAGGGCTGTGAAAGGGGCCTTGCTTCTACCAGGGCCCAATTAGGGACAAGTTATTTGGGTGGGGCTGGCAGAACACAAGGGAAGGCCAGTAGGAGCCAGCAGATGGTCCTGCCGCCTTCCTTGTGGGGTGATTAGCTGGTTTATGAGATGAGGAGCCTATTAGAGCTGGCCTAATCCAGGATTTTCCAAAGGGCCTCTCCTGGAGGATATATTATGGTTTAGTCTATTAACTGTAATTACAGGCCACTCTATGGAAGAGCACAGAGGGGAGTCTCGACCCTCCGACCCTCCTACCCTCCTGTCTAAGGAAGAAAGAAAGCTATAAACCTGATCCCAGAAACAGCAGATGTTCTCTGGAAAGAGAAAGGAAACCCACAGAATAGGTCCAGGACCAGCAAGTCTCCAACCCCTGAAGTATCCTCCTGGGGTTCTAAGGCCAGCTGTGCTGTGTGACAGCAAGGTTGTCTCTGGACTTTGGTGAATATGGTCTCTGGGATACACTGACAACCCACCTCTGCTCACTGGGCCTCAGGGACACCCAAGGAATAAAGGGACTTGGAGCAGCTGGAAAACATGGTGTTACAGAGCTTGCTTGGAAGGGATGGAGAACAAGCCCAGGGCTCAGGGGCCTTGAGGGGGGCAACTTTTAACTCTGAGGGTCAAAAGACCCTTTGAAGGCTGATGAAAGCTTTGGCTCACCTTTCAGAAAAAAAAAAAATCCATACATCATTTTGAATTCACATTTATGGAGTTCCTTAACGTGCTGAACCCATTCAGACAACTCCACCGGGATAAATGGAGATGAAACTAAGGGTGCTTTCTAGGTGGATCTGTCACTCTTGAGCAAGGCTCTGGTCTAGCCTTCAACCTTCCTTAGCATAGGCATGCTCTCCCTGGGGGGATGTGAGATCATCTTCCCCTACTGTCATAGTAAGTATTCTCCCCTGTTGCAGGGAGGGAGAGTACCCAAGTCAGGGAGCCCCATTCCCCAAGGAGTGAAGTCTGATAGCCCCCCCCCCCAATGCCATTCAGGAGGCTCTGACTCAGCCACCCCTGCCTAGGAGCCACTTCCAGTTTTTCCTGCTCTTTTCTGTTCCTCCACCCACCTCTCCACCCCACTTCCCACTGGCCTTCAGTCTTGAACTTTCACAGATCCTTCCTTTAGACACTTACCCCCTCTTCTGGAGGATCCAGAAGCCAGCCCAACTCTCCTTGTGCCAGGCTTGTGTCCATCAGAGTGACTGAAGGTGGGGAGAAATGTTGGCTGTCACCTCTGAGAAAGGGGGTGCCCCTGTAACTCACATTTGGCATTGGGGGGGGCAACCCTAGGCTGCGGGACATCCTCTTCCTAATAGTGTGACATCCTGAGGTTGAGGGAGCAAAAGGGCCCCAAATGAGGAGTGAGGAGCTCCAGGGATCGTAGCAGCTTCCTTCAGAGTGTGAAGGGGAACATGGCAGAGTGCCGCAAGCGTTGGGGTGCTGATGCTTGAACCAAAGTCGCAAAAATAAACACAGGCCTCAGAAATTGCACCCTCCAGGCCCGGGAGGGAAATCCATCTGCTGCATGGCTACCACGGGTGGATGGGCAGGGAAGCTGGGCGGCTGTAGTCCTGAGTGGGACCCTGGCAGCGGGTTCCTGGGTGGAGTTTGACTTCTACAGTCAAGGGCCTGCTCTGACCTGTGACTGGGGGTAGGAGCCGGGGCCAAGGCAAAGCTTCGATTTTTGGGAAGTAGGAGGGGCGCGATCGCAGAGGGTGTGCAAGGTGCAAGGCTGGACCCCTACACCTGGGACCCCCTGGGGGCTCGCATCCCAACCCTCCCACCACTGGCTGCCTCTCTGTGGCCTAGTTAGGCTGGTAAAAGGCGGCTTTCCACCTTCAGAGGGCTCCACACTCGGGGGTGGGAAGACGGAGGGCCCCAGGATGCTGGCATGGGAGGTGAGGATCCCTGGCTGTGGTCAGAAACTCCCTCTCCACCCCCAGCAAACAGTATCCGCCAGCTGCGGTAGGGGTGACCGATCCCGAGGGCAGGAGTCTGGGGTTAAAGACCAAAGACTGGCCTGGCCAATCGATCGCCCGGCTATGCGGGCTAAAACAGGGGGAGAAGGAGTGGGGCGCGAGGAGGAGGGCCTCCTCTGGAATGCCGGCTCCTGCAAGCGGCTGGCGGCTGGCCGGGGAGGGGAGGGGGCGGGGGTCGGTACCTTCCTCGGCGCGCGCCCCGGGGGGCCGCGGGGCGCAGAGCAGCAGCAGCAGCCCGAGCCCCAGGGGCCAGCGCCGCTCCATGGCGCCGGCCGGGACCTGGGACCTCGGCCCCGACGGCTGGGCCAGGTCGGGAGGGACCCGGTGCT